AGGTCTTTGAAATCAAAAATAACCTGAGACATTTAGTTGGTAAAAGCGATTATTTTGGAAGGAGAACTAGCTGATGCTTTAAGTGATAGAATAGACTTAACTATTGAAGAACCATCAGATTTGGATTGAGAAGAGATTGACTGAGCCAAATACGCAAAAAGTATAATTAATTACAGTGATAGTCGAACTTGAAATTTATTAAAGACTAATCACAGTAAAGTAGTTGCTTTCAATCAAAAAATTAAAGAATACACTCAATTAGCTGATACTATTCGTAAATTATTAACTGAAATTGAAACAATTAATGTTTCTGGTTACAAGAAAGCTGACAAAGCAGTTCTAAAATATGTGCTTACTCCAATTATTAAGAGATTAGGCACAAAGGGCAAAAATATTGGTCAATTAATTGAAAAAGGTTGATTAGCTGAAGATGCTCGTTGATTAGCGGGAGTAATTGATAAATATAATAGCAAAATTAAAGTAGGAAGTAGCTATGTTGAAAGTATCACTGACTATGTTGGTGAAAAGATAGTTAAACATGACCAAAAAAATCTTGCTGAGGAATACTCGAACTTAGAAAATGTTTCTCCATCCTTTCAAAGCAAGGCTGAAGTAGCAGTGTTCGAGGAAGAAATAGATAAAGTTGAAACTAAGGTTGAAGAAAAACCTAAAACTGGTTGATTTGGTTGACTAAAGAAATAATATATTTAAATAAAACTTAATTAACCCTTTCTTTATTTCAGTTCCTCCATAGTCTCTGCAGTAAGTAATGGTCAAGAACAAAGACCAAAATCTTTTTCTGATAAACCCATTACTTGAGCAGAAATTATTAGACCCACCCCCCTTAAGATTTTAACCTTAATGGGGAGACATTAAAATTTGAATTCAATTTATTAAGTCAAGCATTGAATTCTTAATAAGATTTTATCCCTGAAAGTGGCTAGCAATGCGAAAAGACGAGACTATTCGCTAACCATTTTTAGAACGGGTTTCTAATGGCGGTTCTAATGAGAATCAAACTCGTGGTTCTTCCCTGACAAGGAAACGTGTTGTCACTACACTATAGAACCAACTCTTTCTCCCCAAAGAACAAGGGGAAAGATACACTAATTTAAACGATTTCTCGAAAGCAATACAAGAAATGTTTAAATGTTTTGTCTCATGAACTTAGCGAAAACTCACGAGGCTTCTCTTAACGAACCCTATTTATTAGCAGAGTAGGGAACTCTATACTCTACTTGTTGGTTAGAAACGAAAAAAATCAATAAGGAATCATAGTTTTACCAGCGAAACGATATTAAACTAACTCTCTCTCAAGGTTTAGCCTCAATCGAGAGATAATTCTCAAACCCCCTCATTTCTGTATTGGATTACCAAGTTCTGCTAGTTGTTCTTTCTATCACAATTTAATTGCACAATAGTTATCGGTTAAATTGAGTTGGAACTTTCTAGCAGGTTGTTTTATTACCTAGCAACTTTCTCCAGCAATCATATGTCAAAGAAAAAAAACTTCCGTAAAATGTAGAAATTGCAAAAATACATTGTTTATTGTTTCTGAAATAATGTGAAATGCTTAGAATTCAGAAGTAGATGTTTACCAATTACTTAAATTACCAATACTTCTGAAATTGTGAAGTAAATATATAAGCAATTCTGATCAGGATATTATCTATATGAATTTGTTTTTTTTGATAAGTGATTTGGTGAAGGGTGTCAATTTTGATATCTATATACAGATACTACATGTAGACATATCTAAAAATTTATAATTTTTAAAAAAATATGAGATTTAGAAAAATTTTTGTTGGAAGATAGAGAAATTTTCTAATTATTTACTTTTGGTTCCCAATTTTCTAGTTTCTAAGCAATTCTTTTTACTGAACAAACAGGTTAAGTTTCTGAGTTTATTAAATTGTTTTTCTTCGTAGATTAGATGATTAGGATCTAAAACTAAGGCTTTGAAAAGATAAAGATTAGTATGCTTAATTTTTTTAAGATTTCCGTATAATCTCGGTTCTTGCCCAAGAGGAATTTGACAGAGGTTAGTAAGTTCGAAGTAAGGATTATCTACTAGACTTTCTATTTTTTCTATAATGTAAGAATTTTGAACAAAATGAAAATGATCTTGTCTAAATAACTCTTTTAGTTCTGTTTCCTGACAAATCATTTGTAAACTTCTGAATAGTTCTGAAATAAATGTTTTGCTATCTATTTCGGAACTAATGGCATTGGTAAATTTGATTTCTCTGTTATGTAAACAATCAGTAATTAGGTCTTTGAAATCAAAAATAACCTGAGACATTTAGTTGGTAAAAGCGATTATTTTGGAAGGTTCCATGAAAATAGTAGGTCTTTTTTCTCCGTTGACTTTTTCGCGAGCCTGTTCCCATGCTTCATCTTCGTTTTTAAAAAAGAAATCTATATTGCCTTGTTTTTTAGCATTTTGATAATCTCGGTAAGTTTTAGTTAAGTATTGCTTGATTTCTTTATCCTTGATGTCTTCTGCGGTTTCAAATAAGCAATCCATAGTCCTATGTTCTTTAAAATGGTGTTTCATTTGTTGATGAACTGATTCTAAAACCGGACAGTCTTCTCAAGCTTGAAATTTTTCTTTAAACAGAACTTTACTTTCTTTTCTCAGAATTTCTCGGTAAGAAAGATAAAGCAAGTCTTGCATTAGTCGGTAACTTTCTACCCCTTTTTGATAGAAAAATTTAGCTACGGACAAAGGGTTAAGATTTAAGTTTTTTAATTTACTACTTCTAATTACCATTGTTAAGTAATTTTAAACCTCAATTACATAATCTACTAATAGATTAGATCCATTCTTTCCTTCTTCCACGGTAAAATTGATTTCTTTACCTTCTTCTAACCAACTTCATCTCTCTTCTTTAACTTTTCCATTAAAAACAAAGACACTTTCATTATTGTCTAACTCTAAGATTAAGAATTGATTGCCATTTTTATCTAACAGTTCTTTACGATTAAGGATAGTAGATTTAATATTTCTCGTCAGGTTCATTATTTTTTCTTACTGTTTTTGCTAATTTCCTTTTTCAAATCTTCGCTGAATTTAACCTTAGGTACTCGTTTAGCCGGAATAGTCATTTTTTTCTTAGTTTGTAAGTTCATGGCTATGCGTGGTTTTTGCAGAGTAGTTTTCAGAGATAAATAACTAGGTAAACGGATTTCTTCACCTTTGATTAAGGATTTTTTGATTTCTTCTAAAAGTTCACTTAAAACAGTTTCAATTTGATTTTTGGTTAAAGATACTCGTTTTTTACTTAGGTTATTACTAATTCGATCAGTTAAAATTTTCTTACTTACTAGTTTGTTTTGGTTATTGGATTTTGCTTTCTTTACCATAATTAGATATTTTTATTTATTTTATAGTTTTTTCATTTTTTTGTTATTAGGTTGTAATTTGAGGGTTGTTTAGAAAACAAAATATTTGAAAAGAAAAAAACGAGTTGAAAAAAATACTGAGATAATGAATTAAAACCAAGATAAAAAAGAAATAATTTTAGACTGGAGTAGGTTAAAATAACAATGCTCAATCATTTTTATTGGTGGAAGTGATGGGATTGAACCCATGTCCTAGCAATTATCAATAATTACTTCTACAACCATATTCAGTTATGTTTCTAATTAGTTATTAACTGACAACTTAACCAATCAATAGTTTATTTTGTTTAAATAATTAGCAAAAAATAAACAAAGTTAACTAATTATTCCCACTTGTATTACGAAATTATTGAATGGAGCAATAATTAAGAACTATGTTAAAAGACTAAACTCTTAGATAGTTACCCCCGAAGTTGCTATTATTTAGCAATTCGTAAGGAATGTTTTGGTTTTCACCAGTTGTAATAGTTTCTTGATTTTTTATTTCAAGTTTGGTTGCCATAATTATCTCATCATTCCAGTCAATGCTCACACTCCCATATGTTATTTTATAAGAAATAAAATTAGTAATTAGATAATAAATCTTTGACATTTCGCCGCAAGGTTGGTAATTGGCAGAGAAGTTATATAATTCAAACTGAAAGAACACGAAAATTTTGGTAAACTTGATTAATGAGATGTTCAAAAAAATTTTCTAACACTATTTATTTTTCCTTGTCTTTGAACCAAAAGGTTTACCGATATCTTTTTCGGTACAGATAATTTCGCTAATTAAGTTAGGAGAAGATTTTTTTCCTTGGGATCGTTTAATATCTTTTTGGAGAGCTTCAGAAAACTTTTTATTTCATTCTTTATCAATTAAAGGATTTTTGATTGTAGTCTTTTTGCTTACCATAATAAATAATTAATTTTATTAAATAAACCATTCTATTAAAGAAAGTATCAATAAAGAAAATCACTAAATTATTTAGGAGCAATTTCAATCTGAGCAACTAA